GGACCCCTACCAAAGGAAGCCAACTTCATGCAACTGCCCAGGTTTTGGTGTCAAGAGCTGATTCCTAGCCAGGGGTTGCCAGCTGTAGAGGGCGGGGCTCTATTTTGGGCTGCCTGCTGTCCCTGAGCCTGGCCGCGTCTGGTTTGAGCAGCATGCAGCCCCAGTGACTCACACACCCATGCAAACCGCCTGTGGCTCAGTGGCATGGCCTTGGAATGCCAGCCTTAGGCCAGCTCCCTCCTCACCCCATTACACTGGGATAAATAAATAAAGAGCCCGCCAGCAGCCACACAGCCTGATGGCAACCAGATGGAGAGAGCGAGGCATGGACAGGGCCAGGGGAAGGAACTCCCTCCAGTGGACTAGACTGAGAGTGGGCTCTGCCCAGTCACCCTAAACTTCCTTTTTCATACAGTTCCTACTGCCATATAACAACAGTCCCTAAGTCCCTGACTCTTCTTTCACTCCTAAAGATGCCTCCCAACTCCCAGTCCTATAAAATGCCCTATATAGGGTTCTTGGCCTCCATGAAGATCATGCCAACAGACACCCCACCCAGCCTTGACTTGAGTCAATATTGTCAGTATTTCCCCTCTAGTTAGGCCACTATCAATTGGCTACTTGGGTTCCCCAGAATTGAGAAATCAGAGGCTCTTAGAGAGAGTGGAAAAACAAAAGGACCAAATAGGGAGAAGTAACCCCTGCTCAATTCTTATTTTCCCGAGCCTCAGTATCCTAGCAACCTGCCTGGCCTACTGCCCCCTGTGCCTTATTGTCTATAGCCTCTTGCCTAGTAATAATCCCAATGAGAATTTTAAAAACTGACCCCAGGCAATGACCGCATGGCCCTCTGACACCAGCCCTGGCCCCCCTGCGCCTTCATCCCGAGCTCTCTCCCTGGTTTGTTTATCTTCCTATTCCATGTTGCTTATTTTGATGGCACATCCTTTCAGTTCAGTCTTGGGTGACCCCATGACCCTTCTGTGTCCTGTTTGTAGGACCCCGGGCAAGCAGAGTAACTAAAAAGATGCAGTAGTCATAAGAAGTTCCACAGCCCCAGTAGGAAACCTTTCAGTTCTAGCAACTATACAGGACATTCTGAGGACAGTGCAATGACCCCAGAGGTCACAAGAATTCCATATTATAGCCCTTATATCTCTCCTAACTGGTGTGTACAACCAGTTAAAGTAGCAAAACAAAACAGAGATAATCCTAGACTATGTGTCAAGAAATGTGGGAAGTCCTAAACATAAAGCTACAGCTATATGACCTTAGGCAAGTCACTTAACCTCTCTGAGGCTCAACTTCTTCGTCTATAAAATAGAAAGCTATAACTACAACTACCTATCTCTCACTTCCTTTCCAGATAAAATAAAATTCTACAAGTCTATAAGATTGATCCACCTAGAACCTACAGGACCAGTATTCTTTAAGTAGCTGGTTCCAAAACACTAATACTCTTCCTGTGCTGCCACCTAAATTCTATATGCTTTCTCATTCAATTCTGCAAGGCTCCTCTCCCAACCTATAGTATAAAAATGATGAGCCTCTAATTTTACAAATGAGAAGTGATTTATCCAAAGCTGCAAAATGAGCCATGAGAATAACTGAAGACCCCAAATACAGGTCTAATAAGCAACACTGAGCCAGGTGCAGTGGCTAATTACACACCTGTAATCTCAGCACTTTGGGAGGCCAAAGTGGATGGACTGCATGAGGCCAGGCATTCAAAACCAGCCTGGACAACATGGTGAAACCCTACCTCTATTAAAAATACGAAAATTAGCAGGGCGTGGTGGGGCACACCTGTAATCCCAGCTACTCAGGAGGCTGAGGCACAAGAATCTCTTGAACCTGGGAGGCAGAGATAGCAGTGAACTGAGATCACCCCACTGCACTCCAGACAAAAAAAAGTAACATTGTATCCACAGGCCACACTGTCATAATTTTTATAAAATTCCCCTAGCTTAGACTTATCAAAATATTAACCCAAACTTATCGAAGACTTACTACCTCTAGGCACCATGCACAGTGCTGGGGATATAGAAACGCATTCAGCATGGTCCTTGCCTCAGAGAGTCCACAGATCAGTGGAGGAGAAAGCTATAGCCTTGCAAATGTACAAACAGTAATATTACAATGTTATAAGAGGTAAAACAGCCGGGCGCAGTGGCTCAAGCCTGTAATCCCAGCACTTTGGGAGGCCGAGACGGGCGGATCACGAGGTCAGAAGATCGAGACCATCCTGGCTAACACGGTGAAACCCCATCTCTACTAAAAAATACAAAACAACTAGCCAGGCGAGGTGGCGGGTGCCTGTAGTCCCTACTACTCGGGAGGCTGAGGCAGGAGAATGGCGTAAACCCGGGAGGCGGAGCTTGCAGTGAGCTGAGATCCGGCCACGGCACTCCAGCCTTGGCGACAGAGTGAGACTCCATCTCAAACAAAAAAAAAAAAGAGGTAAAACAGAGGTATAATCCAAGGTACTATTGCAGCAGGGAAGAAGAATAGTCCTTACAAGCAGAGTACAGAAAGGTCTCCCAAACAATGTGAAGCTGACATCTGGAAGATTAATTGAAGTTTACAAGTTAGGGCCAGGCACAGTGGCTCATGCCTTTAATCCCAGCACTTTGGGAGGCCAAGGTGGGCGGATCACAAGGTCAGGAGATTGAGACCACAGTGAAACCCCATCTCTACTAAAAATACAAAAAATCAGCCAGGCATGGTGGCTGGCGCCTGTAGTCCCAGCTACTCGGGAGGCTGAGGCAGGAGAATGGCGTGAGATCAGGCCACTGCACTCCAGCCTGGGCGACAGAGCGAGACTCCGTCTCAAAAAAAAAAAAAAAAGAAGTTTACAAGTTAGATAAGGCCAGAACATTAGGCATTCTAGATCATGGGAAGAATGTGTACCTGGAGATAAGAAAAAACAGCATTTGGGGAAATTAAAAGTCATTCCATATAGCTAAGGCATAAAGTACATAGAGAAAAATGTTAAGAAGTCAAGCTGGGTAGGTTTGCAGGCACTAGATCAGGAAGAGACCTCTCTACTGAGCTAAGAACAAGCCTTGCAGTGCTTAACTAAGGGGATGAGGCAGGGAACCAGTATGTTATCCCCAGACTTAATACCTAAACTTATAGACCGGGGAAGCTATCTAAGAGAAAAACGGCCTAAGAAACCTCTCAGTCACAAGTTTAGGTTTAATAGTCTCTCTTTACCCATAAAAACTTGAAACCTTTTCTAGGCTGGGCATGGTGGCTCACATCTATAATCCCAGCATTTTGGGAGGTCAAGGAGGGTGGATCACTTGAGGCCAGAAGTTCAAGACCAGCCTGATCGACATGGTGAAATCCTGTTTCTACTAAAAATACAAAAATCAGTTGGGTGTGGTGGTGCATGCCTGTAATCCCAGCTACTTGGGACGCTGAGGCAGAAGAATTGCTTGAACCCGGGAGAGGGAGGTTACAGTGAGCCAAGATTGTGCCATGGTACTCCAGTCTGGGTGACAGAGCAAGTGAGACTCTATTTCAAAAGAAACAAAACAAAACAACAACAACAACAACAACAAAAAGACTTGAAACCTTTTCTGTTTCAGGACTTAGCAATACAAGTTTTCCTTCTTCTCCAGACTTACAATTGCTTCAGTACCTGGACTGAGCACCTATCTCACATTTTTTGCATTTAGTGTTTAGACCCCAACCATTGTAGCTCAGTCAATGCACAGAGGCAGAACGGGAGGTTCCAAATAAAGAATACTTGCTTTATGCCTAGCTCTTTAAAAAGTGCTAATTTAGGTTTCAAAAGAGGTATGGGACAGAGACCCTGTCCACAAAGACCTTACAAATTAATCCAGAAAACAATGCAGAAATATAAATAATCTATATATATAACACCAGATTATAATAGCATTATTTAGTTACATGATAAAGTACCAACTTGGGTAATATATATAATTAGAAAATGGGGCAATAGGCTGGGCACAGTGGCTCACACTTGTAATCCCAGCACTTTGGGAGGCCGAGGCGGGTGGTCACCTGAAGTCAGGAGTTCCAGATCAGCCTGACCAACATGGAGAAATCCCATCTCTACTAAAATACAAAATTAGCTGGGCGTGGTGGCACACACCTGTAATCCCAGCTACTCCGGAGGTTGAGGCAGGAGAATTGCTTGAACCTGGGAGGCAGAGGTTGTGGTGAGCCGAGATCGCACATTGCACTCCAGCCTGGACAATAAGAGCGAAACTCCATCTCAAAATAAAAAAAAAGAAAAGAAAAAGAAAAAAGAAAATGGGGCAATAATACTAAGGTACTAACTGTATAACCAACAAGTCACAGAAGAGTGAGGGAAGAAGATCAATACTGACTGGCATAATCAAAGGTCACTATTATTAATACTTTCCCTATTTGGCATTTAATAGATGTTTCTTTTGGCTGAGCTCAATCCTTAGAAGGGAAACCTAGGCAGGAGCTTCTGACAGGCCAGAATTATCTACTCCCCATTCATTCCTTTGCCAGTCCCCTTGTATAAACACTGTGATTTTCCACAACCTACTGTGCCCACAAGACAGCTCCCAAATGGTAGCCCTAAGCTTTTTACCTTCGTCTCCTGCTGGATCCTGAAAGGGCCTAGACAAGTAACGACGCCTACCCTTCTGCTCTACAGTCCAGACCTTATGACCAGACCTCAACAAGCAAAAATTTAACAACTGGTCAACCAACATTTCCAAGGTTAGAGAATTCTAAATGAAATCCCTGGTACTTTAACAGAGATATTTTATAAGTATCAATCAGCCCACTTTCGCCTCCTCCGTTCTTTCCCCCTTCTTCCCCTCATCCTCCCTAAGTACATCTCAAGCCTTATCAGACTTTCTATGGGCAACTTTTTTGGACAAAGGGCATTCCAACCACACAAGCCACCTAATACCCAAAACACAAGTGGCCACTCAGGCACCTGGAAAGAGGAAGTAGGGCAAAGACACACGAGAAAATAACAAATACCTTACCTCTATCATAAATTGTTCCAAGAAGGAATTTTCTTCAAATGGTTCTGTCTTCAATCGATCTGTAATAAGAAGGAACAGAGAAAAGAAACATGAGTCATATAGCATAAGCTTCTTACCTGATAGAAAGGGAACAAAACAGGGTTACTTAGGAAAGAGAAGGAAGGTGCATCATGCAGAGACACCTAGTTCAGTGGGAGAAGAAGGGCTGAGAGCATGTGGGCAAACAGTAGTGGGAGAGGGTGATTAGCAACAAATGGCAGGTTTGGTAGTAGCATCTGCTCTAGGAGTTTTTCCTGCCACAAAAACAAAGGCCAAATTGAATTTTTATTCTGAAGTTGGAGCCATGAAACTTCCTAAACTCCCAAGTCCCTGTTGCTCTGGTACAATTCTGTATAGCTATTGGCTCCTTTCCAAAGTCTTGCCCCGCCATTGCCTAGGGCATGTCTGGACTCAGTTACAGCTTCTATTGGCCACTTGGGCTCCAGTCAGGTATTCAAGGCAGAGAAAAGTGTCACCCAGGCCAGGCACAGAGGCTCACGCCTATAATCCCAGCACTTTGGGAGGCCAAGGCAGGCAGATCACTTGAGGTCAGGAGTTCGAGACCAGCCTGACCAACATGGTGAAACCCCATCTCTATTAAAAACACAAAAAAATTAGCCACGCATGGTGGCGTGCGTCCACAATCCCAGCTACTTGGGAGGCTGAGGCAGAAGAATCGCTTGAGCCTAGGAGGCGGAGGTTGCAGTGAGCTGAGATCACCCACCACACTCCAGCCTAGTTGACAGAGTGAGACTCCATCTCCAAAACAAACAAACAAAAAAGAGTCACCTAGTATCAAGACTCCAGTTTCTGATAAGTATTCAGCACGCATCCTGGGGGAAGCACCTCTCTAATGAAAATGAGTCTCCCTCTTTCCTAAGACTCTTTGACTATCTATACCACTCCCCACCCAACTCCTCCAAGAATGTCCTCTCACCTCGAATCAGCGTAGCCCCACTCTCCTGGTAGTCTTGGATCTCTAGGTCTTTCATATGAAGCAATGTTGCTAGCTCCCTCACTTGGCACTGTAACGCCAGACTCATGCCCATCAGAGGACGAATCAAATGTTGGGAGACCTTTGATGGAAGAGATATCCATTAGCCAAATACTCTTATAAAGTACTCTCCAATTCGGTTTAGGTACTAGAAAAAATACTGAAAATAAATGTTCTTACAGAAACTTATAGTTTCATAGGCAAGTAACCCATTTACATGAATGTAAACATACATACAATAATTACACATATTAAGAAGGTGGCTGATGCAGTGGCTAATGTCTGTAATCCCAACACTTTGGGAGGCCAGGGCGGGTGGGTCACTTGAGGTCAGGAGTTTGAGACAAGCATGGCCAACATGGTCAAACCCCACCTCTACTAAAAATACAAAAATTAACTGGGCTTGGTGGCAGGTGCTTGTAATCCCAGCCACTTGAGAGGCTGAGGCATGAGAATCATTTGAACTCAGGAGGCAGAGGTTGCAGTGAGCCAAGATTGCACCACTGCATTCTAGTCTGGGAGACAGAGTGAGACTCTTTCTCAAAAAAAAGATCCCACCAGCTGAGATGGCTCATGCCTATAATCCTAGCACTCTGGGAGGCCAAGGTAGGAATTCACTTGAGTCCAGGAGTTCAAGAGCAGCCTGAGAAACATAGTGAGACCCCATCTCTACCAAAACAGAATTTTTAACATTAGCCAGTCATGGTAGAATGCATCTATAATCCCAACTACTCAGGAGGCTGAGGTGGAAGGATCACTTGAGCCGAGGAGGTCAAGGCTGCAGTGAGCTGTGATCATGCCACTGTATTCCAGCCTGGGCAACAGAGCAAGACTGCATCTCAAAACAACAAGAAGAAAACAAACAAACAAACAAGAAAAGCAGAAGATCCAAGTATCCCTCAAGAAAGTAAGTGTGGCAAAAACAGAGTACACTAGCTAAAGCATTAACAGAAGACAAAAATCAACAGAAGGTAAAGACCCTTGAAAGTCAAATTAAATACAGACACTAACAGCCACTTCAGGGCTCATGATAGCCCAGAAGGAGCCTGGAGTTTCAGTCTGTTCCCACAAATGCAGTGTAGTCTAAGGTTATTGTTAAAATAGAAGCAAGCCACCTACCAAGAACTAGCCTAGGAAGGTATAAGCCAACCCACTCTACACACAACCCTTTTTTTTTTTTTGAGAAGGAGTTTCACTCATGTTGTCCAGGCTGGAATGCAGTAGCACGATCTCAACTCACTGCAACCTCCACCTCTCAGGTTCAAGCGAATCTCCTGCCTCAGCCTCCTGAGTAGCTGGGATTACAGGCACGCACCACAATGTCCGGCTAATTTTTGTATTTTTAGTAGAGACGGGGTTTCACCATGTTGGTCAGGCTGGTCTCAAACTCCTGACCTCAGGTGATCTGCCCGCCTCAGCCTCCCAAACTGCTGGGATTACAGGTGTGAGTCACTGTGCCCAGCCCACACCCCCCATTTTTAACAAGAGGTAAGAAGAATGCAAACACAGCCATAATGCTGTACAAATAGGGTAATATTCTCATATGATAAGGTGTAGCTATATAGAATAATCATTTAATTCACCTACACAAGGTGTCCATTAACCTGTCAAGAAAAAATAGCTAGGCCGGCACAGTGGCTCATGCCTGTAATCTCAGCATTTTGGGAGGCCAAGGTGGGAGGATTGCTTGAGTCCAGGAGTTCGAGTCCAGCCTGGGCGACGTGATGAAACCTAGTCTCTACAAAAATTACAAAAATTAGCCAGGTGCGGTGGCACATGCCTGTAATCACAGCACTTTGGGAGGCTGGGGTGGGAGGATCATGAGGTCAGGAGATGGAGACCATCCTGGTTAACACAGTGAAACCCCATCTCTAATAAAAATACAAAAAAATTAGCTGGGCGTGGTGGCGGGCGCCTGTAGTCCCAGCTACTTAGGAGGCTGAGGCAGGAGAACGGCATGAACCTGGGAGGCAGAGCTTGAAGTGAGCTGAGATCGCGCCCTGCACTCCAGCCTGGGTGACGCAGCAAGACTCCATAAAAAAAAAAAAGGCCGGATAGTCAATATTTTTCCCTTTGTGGCCTATCCAGTCCCTGTTGCAACTACTTGACTCTCCTGTTGTAGCACAAAAGCAACCACAGACAATATGTAAACAAATCAGGTGGCTGTGTTCCAACAGAGCTTTACAAAAACAGGCAGCAAGCCAGAACTGGCCCATGGCCATAGTATGCCAACCCCTGTCCTAGACCTGAAAAAGGAGTACTTTTAGACAAGATACCCCAACAGGCTTGAAATGAGGAAAAGGTACTACAGTGTCCCATATGTGCAAGCCAGACTCACCTGGATCCAGATCAGACGTCTGGCCTCTTTCAGACCTTTGTGTTTTCATTTTCCATTCATTTTCTAGGTAAAAGTTACTACTAAAAGTTCTAATTGTGCTTTGGCTCAAATTAAGAGGAAAAGACTTTTTTCCACATTTCTGTTAGATTAGAAGAGAAAAGACTGGATGTGGGGAGGTGGAAAGAAAGGAAGTTAGTGGCGGCAGCTTTTGTACCAAAACCAAAAACCAAGAAATGGAAGGGTTCTGGCACAGAGGGGAGAGCCAGAAATAAAGTCCAGCTATAGATACTAGACTCTTCCTTCTACTACATAGCACATCCCAACCTGGCACTGACCCCCAGTTGAGGTCCTTAGGAAAAACTTAACCCTCTAGGAATTACTGTTCAGAATGTGGCAGAAGTTCAGCTTTGGAAAAATTTATCTGCTCTACACTCAATCTTCTTTCCTAGGAATTGTTTTGTTAAATTTGGTCCTGCTGGGCGGGCATGGTGGCTCACACCTGTAATCCCAGCACTTTGGGAGGCCAAGGCAGGCAGATCGCTTGAGCTTAGGAGTTTGAGACCAGCCTGGGCAACATGGTGAAACCCCATCTCTACTAAAAATACAAAAAATTAGCCAGGTGTGGTGAGGCGTGCCTGTATTTTCAGCTACTTGGGAGACTGAGGTGGGAGAATTGCTTGAGCCCAAGAGGTGGAGGTTGCAGTGAGCCGAGATCACACCACTGCACTCCAGCCTGGGTGACAGAGTGAGACCTTATCTCAAACAAACAAAAAAAAAAAAAGTTTGGTCCTGTTTAAGTAGATCAGGAGGAAAACAGGCAAATACTTGTATAAATGACAGTGAATATTTGATGACTTGAATTGAAATAATTGTCATTACTACCCAAGCAGCAACACCATCCAATTGGTGGCAGCACTGAAACAACAGAAACTCCTAAATTAATAACCAGCTTCCCTCTGGATAGCTACCTAATAGCAATTTCTTTGAGTGACAGTAAATATTATATAACAACATGAAACATGACAAGGAACAGATTTTAATTAATATCATGTCTAATTAAATATGATAATGCCATACCAGGCAACTGAAATTATCTGTCAGACCCCAATGTCTATTTGGTTTTAAAAAAGTTTTTTTATCAGTAAATACTGTAACTGCTAAAATAATTTCATACGATTGGGTTACATCATTCTGAATTATTGAGGTATAATTCATTTCAAAGTTAGAGGAACACTAAAATGATTTCCCTTAGACCAGATAGCCTTAACTTAATGATCAGTAGAAATTGTGAAAATATGTGTTAATGGGCATATGAGAGACTAGATGAAATGTGTAAAAAAATCCCAGCACTTTGGGAGGCTGAGGTGGGCAGATCACTTGAAGCCAGGAATGAGAGATCAGCCTGACCAACATAGTGAAACCTGTCTCTACTAAAAATACAAAAAATTAGCCAGTCGCCGGGCGCGGTGGCTCAAGCCTGTAATCCCAGCACTTTGGGAGGCCGAGACGGGCTGATCAAGAGGTCAGGAGATCGAGACCATCCTGGCTAACACGGTGAAACCCCATCTCTACTAAAAAATACAAAAAACTAGCCGGGCGAGGTAGAGGGCGCCTGTAGTCCCAGCTACTCAGGAGGCTGAGGCAGGAGAATGGCGTGAACCTGGGAGGCGGAGCTTGCAGTGAGCTGAGATCCGGCCACTGCACTCCAGCCTGGGTGACAGAGCGAGACTCCGTCTCAAAAAAAAAAAAAAAAAATTAGCCAGACATGGTGGCACACACCTATAGTCCCAGCTACTCGGGAGGCTGAGGCACAAGAATCACTTGAAGCTGAGAAGCAGAGGCTGCAGTGAGCCAAGATCATGCCACTGCACTCCAGCTTGGGTGACAGAGAGAGACTTCATCTCAAATAACAATAATAATAATAATAATAATAATGTGTAAATAGTTCAAAGCAAATCCACAGACACTATAAGGAAAAATCTTGAAGTGCTTTAGGATGTCAGGGATACTCCCCGTAATTGATAGACAGCAATATATGAAGATATACAGTTCATCAGTCAATTCAACAAGTATCTGGGTTCCTAATATGTACTCTGACCCTATGAGGCCTCTGCCATCAAAGAGCTCACAACAGTTAAGGAGGTTAGGAAGTTGGCCGGGCGCGGTGGCTCAAGCCTGTAATCCCAGCACTCTGGGAGGCCGAGGCAGGCGGATCACGAGGTCAGGAGATCGAGACCATCCTGGCTAACACGGTGAAACCCTGTCTCTACTAAAAACATACAAAAAACTAGCCGGGCGATGTGGCGGGTGCCTGTAGTCCCAGCTACTCGGGAGGCTGAGGCAGGAGAATGGCATAAACCCGGGAGGTGGAGCTTGCAGTGAGCTGAGATCCGGCCACTGCACTCCAGCCCGGGCGACACAGTGAGACTCTGTCTCAAAAAAAAAAAAAAAAAAAGGAGGTTAGGAAGTGTAATAGATATAAAAATAGGAGTTGCTAATCTTTTTCAGAGGAAAACCTATACATAATTTTCTCCAAAGTCTTCAGATTTTCCATAGAAATGTTCATAAGTCATGAGCAGGGGAGCAGAATGATAGGTCTCCATCTCAAGATGAATCAAGCTGGATGTGGTGGTACACACCTGTAATCCCAGCTACTCTGCAGGTTAAAGAGGGAGAATCACTTAAGCCCAGGAGTTCAAGACTAGCCTGGGCAACATAGTAAGACCCCCATCTCATAAACAAAC